GATTTGATTATTCTGGTTATTTCATATAAATGGAATCATATAATATGTAGTCTTTGTATCTGTTTTCTTTCACTTAGCATATTTTCAGTGTTCATCCGTGTCATAGCCTGAGTCAGTAATATTTCATTCCTCTTCATGGTCAAGTAACATTCTATTGTATGGATATATGACATCTTGTTTTTTATTCATCAGTTGATAGACATGTCCTGTCACTGGAACTTAATATCTTTGGTCTGTGGACATTTTTGATAGATTTTAATGATAAAATTGTATTAAAACTAGTGACTACCCCAGTGTCAGATCTTTAAAGATGAAGAAACCACTTACATTCACATTCAAATCTATGACTCGTTACAGGTTAAAAACATTCAGATTTTCACCATCCCACCCCACTATTTCTCAGTCATTGCAAATTTTACTTGTTCTTAATGTCTGAGAACCTGTTTCTGTGGGTAATTTTGTTCATGAAATGAATTTTAGGATTACAGTCAGTTATTCTCAACACAAATGACCAAGTAAGATGACACGAGTATTTTGAGTTTTATGAGCTACAACTCTAATAAAAGAGTGTCTGTGTTCTTTTTTTGTTGGCTTTCAAAACCATCTGCAGGATACTAGAACACCTCTGCTTTCTATTCTACCACCAGCTACCTTTTCCCCCTGCCAGGTGCTTCTCACCCACATCATGGGCTTTTTCCCTCTCTTCCTCTTCTCATGATATCTGTGTTCCTTACTTTCCTACATGCTTCATTTTAGATTCTCAGCCCTCTACTCTTTTCTTGATTATTCTGAATCTTACCCATCTTTCAAATTTTAATTTTTTAGAGATATAATTCACAGCCCAGAATTCATCCTGTGGATGAAATAATCAGATAGACTTCAAAGTCTCCATTTTAACTATGCTCAGTGTGGAACAGGAAAATGTAGTAATATCAATAAAATCCACTTCATGACAAAGGGAAAGAAGACCATTTCAGAATGATAATAAAAGAGTAGCTTCAGGAAGACATGACAATTATATATGTGTCTAATAACAAAGCTTTAAAATACTTGACAGAATTAAAGGGAGAAAAAGGCAATTATACCTTTAAAAAAGAGATTTAACCCCTCTGAGCAACTGATAGGACAACTAGGTGAAAAGTCAGTAAAGACATAGGATTTAAAGAAAACTAGCAAATGCATCATCTTGGTCAAAAATTATAGAACACTGTACCCTACAACTGCAGAATATACTTTTTCAAGTACATTTGGTATGCTCAGCAAGACAGACTTAGTGAATTTGAAGGGATTTAAAGAATACAGTGTATATTCTGTAACTCCAGTTGAATTATATTAGAGACCCATAAGATATCGAAGTAAATCTCAAATATTTAGAAACTGAACGACACATTCTTCACTAATCCTTACATCAAAGGAGAAATTGCAAAATTAAGAGACTATTTCAAACAGAATGATAGAAATGGATCATTAAATCTTGTGGGAGGCCAATCTGGTGGCTCTGCCCCAGCAGCAGTCTGGCAGTGCCCTCTACCACCCCTGGGATAGGATCTCTGTGCTAGCCTCAACCCTGGCATCCTGGATATCGCCAGAGGGATCAAGAGAGGACAGCCTATTGCTTTATTGGGCTTCCGTGTTCTCCCTCCGTCTGACTTTCTGCTTCTTCATGTTGAAGCTTATGGTCTGTGACTGATGGTGAAGTTATAAGGGTCAGCACTGAGGATGAACAAGGGGGGGTTAGCAGTTGGAAAGTGACTAGAGCCAACACCTGCTTGCTTTCTCAGACATGGACAGAGGTGACTGTGTGGCCACAGTGCTAGATTGCCAGTTTGGCTGATGAGCCCCTTTGGATCTGCATTTCTTAGGTCTTAGACACTTTGGCCAGAAGGCAGGGCATCCTTTGCCTAATGCAAATGAGAGCTTCAGGACAGAAACTTCACAGGCTCTGCCTTCAGTGGACTCATTATTCAAGTAGGAGAAGATTCATGTACACAACCTAAATCAAAACAGGCGGCTGTACAATAAAGACGGAGACACACAGTCTTGTTTTGTGAAAGAAGAAATCTCAGATGATGGTTTCTTCTTGGCATTGAGGAACGGTCCTCATTGAGGACCACCATTGGGGAACCTGGTGTGGAGACTGCTTGTGACACTGGCTCAGGTTAGATTTCTGCAAGTCTCTCCCCAAGGGACTCTTGTGTTCCTGGCAAGCACCTATATTCCACAAGAGAAATTCCACGTGAGCAAGAGCCCAGGGAGGTGATGAGCATGTAAACAATGTCAGTCTAAATGCAGACCTTCCTACAGAGTGAGACTTCAGAAAGAAGAACTCACAGTGTCTCATTGTGGCAGAAGCTTCCTACTCAATTTTGAGCTTAGGCAGCATGAGGAAATCTATTCTGGAGAGAAACCTTTTGTGTGTGACAGTAAATTCTTCATTCAAAGTTCAAAACTTAGTATCAGAGGATTCACACTGGAGAGAAATTTTACAAGTGTACCAAATGTTGAAAAAGCTTCAGTCAGAATTCGAATCTTCAGTATTAGAAATTTCATACTGGAGAGGAACCCTATGGATGCAACAAATGTAGGAAAAGAAAGGATTCAAATCCAGCTTAAATCTCTTTCAGAATCAGTGCACCCCCCTGAGAAACCCTAGAAATTCTGGAAGGGTGAGGAAGCCTTTAGTTAGAGCTCATGCCTTGTTCTCACAGACTCCTAGGGGGAAGCCTATGAGTGTATGGAGCGTGGAGGTACTTTATCTGTAGCTCACATCTGGCCCAACAACAAAGAATACTTCAGAGAGAAGCCCAACAGATGTGATAAATGTGGGAGGGGTTTCCACAATTTGGCCAGTGTCACAGAACCTGAAGCATGGGGACAAAGCCATAAAAATGCAGCATCTGTGGGGAGCACTTCAGCCTGAGCTTTCACTGTCTCCACGACAGAATCCGCACAGGTGGGACGCCCTACGGATGTGATAAATGTGTCAAAATGCAAACCTTATTCAGCATCAGAAAGTTTACACTGGAAGGAAACCCCACGCATTAGTCTGCTAGGGCTGCCATAAAAGAATACCACGCAGTAGGTGGCTTAAGCAACAGAAATCTTATTTTCTCACAGTTCTGTAGGCTGGAAAGTCCAAGATCAAGGTGCTGGCCGGTTTAGTTCCTAGTGAGGACTTTTCCTCGTTTGTAGATGGCTGCTTTTTTCACTGTTTGCTCACATGGTAGAGACAGAGAGCTAGAGTATCTCTTCCTCTTATGAGGTACCATTCCTGTTTGATCAGGGCCCCACCCTTAACCTTTGTTACTTCTTTACAAACACTGATATTGGAGTCAGTGCTTCAGTATATGAAATTTCAGTATACAATTCAGGCTATAACATTCCACCCCTGGAACCCCCCCCCCCCCCATTCAATGTCCTTCTCACATGAAGATGAATTATTTTTAAAATTTATCTGAAGGGATGGGAGGGAGAGGGGGGCGGGAGAGAATCTTAAGCAGGCTTCATGCTCAGTGTGGAGCCCAATGTGGGGCTTGATTGGGATCATGACCTGAGCTGAAATCAAGAGTTGGGCACTGAACCGACTGAGCCACCCAGGTGCCCCAGAAATACATTATTTCTTGCTAACAGCCTCCACAGCCTTAACTTACCCAGCATCAGATTTAAAGTCCAAAGTTTCATCTAAATGTCATCTAAGTCAGATATAGATCAGGCATGAATCTAGGTATCATTCATCCTACAGCAAAATCCCTCTCTTCTTGTGAGCTTGTGAAACACTTCCAAAATAAAATGGTAGACAGACATAGGATACATACTCCCATTCCAAAATGGAGAAATGTGATGGGTCCCACCAAGTCTAAAACCTACCAAGGGAGAATGAATTAAATCTTAATGTTGGTGAATAATCCTCCATGGTTTGATGTTCTACCCTCCAGACCCACTGGGTTGAGTGTCCCTTTAGGTCAGATGGGTGACCCCACCTCTGTGGCTTTCTGAGAAGGCCCTGCCAAACTGAGGAGTGATGGGCATCCTTGCCCCTGGGCCTGCTGTGGGATTGGCAGCTCTGACAACCTCTGAATTGCCTTCAGGGTCATTCTTTCCCCTTTTTGAAAGATAACGGGTGTCTGCAGCCTTGCTCATTCTGTCTTGTTTCCTCTGTTTAATCCCAGCTGGCAGTGTTTCTGCTGGTATAATTCCATCTCAATTCCTGGCTTCTAGGTGGCCGATTAAATTCATGGTTTACATCGATACTAATCTCTGTATCAAATTATTTTTCAGACGCACCTTCAGTGTTCTCTTCAGAACGAGTTTTCTCTCCCCTTCCCTCTCTCTCCCTCTTTTTGCAATGTGGATAAACGGAATTTTCCACATCTTCAGCTTGGGTTCCTTTTTGCTTAACAGTTTTTTTCTTCAGCTCATCTCTTACGTCTCTTACATTTTACTGTAAGCAGTCAGGAGAAACCAAGTCATTTCTTCAACACTTGGCTCTGAAATCTCTTCAGCTAAAATATCCAGTCTCATTAATCACAAGGTCTACCTTATACAAAACACTGGAACATAGTTCAGTGAAGTTCTTTACTGCCTTATAACAAAAATCATATTTCCTATGGTTTCCAGTAACCTGTACCTCATTTCCATCTGAGACATCAGAATGGCCTTTAATGTCTACATTTTTGCCAGTATTATTTTCATGATTATTTGTGTATTCTCTAAAACGGAAGTGTTCTCTCCAGCTCTTTTCTTTCTGAGCTCTCATCAGAATCACCTTTAACTCCTGTTATTTCTATTAGCAGTCCCTTCATGTCAATCTTGTGTTCTTTTACTATGTGGCTCAGCAGTCTTCCAGCCTCTATCACACTGTTCCAAAGCTGCTTCCACAGTTTTAGGTATGTGTTAACAGCGGCTCCTTGCTCTCAATACCAAAATCTGTATTAGTTTGAGAAGTCTGCCTTAACAAGTACTATAAACTAGGTGGCTTAAATAACAAATTTATCATCCACAGTTTTTGAGGCTGGGAAGTCTAAAATCAAGGTGCTGGCTGATCGGTTCCTTGTGAGGTCTCTCTTCCTGGCTTGCAGACGGCTATCTTCTTGCTGTGTGTTCACACGGCAGAGACAGAGAGATAGGGAGCTGTGGTCTCTTATGTACCAGCCCAACTGTACCAGAGTCCTACCTTTATGACTTCATTTAACCTGACTTCCTTGGAGGCTATTGTCTCCATTAGGGGTTAAGGCTTCAACGTATCAATTTTAGAAGGACATAGTTCACTCCATAGCACCCGATAAATGTCATGAATGTGGAAAAGCCTTTAGTAAAAATTTATGACTTAACAATAGACAATCCATAAGTGAAAATACAGAGGGGTGAAGAGAACCCTGTAAATACAGTCAGTGTGACTCTCTGGGTTTGTTCAATGTCAGAATTGATAGAGGGAGAAAGCCCATAGCTACAAGTGACATAGAGGAAGCTTTTATGTGCTAAGCCCACATAGGGCTTAATTCCACATGAGAGTATTGACACCAGCAAGTGTAAGGGAGATTCTGAGGAAACTCAGTGGATTGTGTATAGGATGGTGAGAATCATGTAAGTAGCCTCTGTTCCAGTTTGTTGAAACTATTCTGAGCCATCTACTAGGATATGGAAAGTGCCCTTCGAAACAGATCTCCTCCTTGAAAGTGACTTTAAAAAATTTTATTGATGTGCAATTCACATAACATAAAACGAACAATTTAAAAATGTTCAGGGGTGCCTGGGTGGCTCGGTTGAGCATCTGACTGTTAATTTTGGTCTGGGTCATGATCCCGGCGTTGTGGGATCAAGCCCTATGTCAGGCTCCATACTGGGCATGGAGCCTGCTTGGGATTCTCCCCCCACCTCACCTTTTCTCTCTCCCTCTGCTTCTCTCCCTGACTTACCTGTGCACTCTCTAGAAAATAAAAATAAAAAAATTTCGTTACATGTACAATTCAGTGGCATTTAGGACATTCACAGTGTTGTGCAACCAAGGAGTCATTAAGCAATTACTCTTCATTTGCTCCTCTCCAGATACTGACAACCACTAACCTGCTTTGTGTCTCTATGGATTTAACTGTTTTGGATACTTTGTATAAATGGGATCATACAGTTAGAAACACTGTGACATCAAAATGTCAGAGTAAGGGAAGTAGGAGGTTCTGTGCCTGCCCCAAAGCAACTAATGAGCTGCTAAAATCTGCCAGAATTAACTTTTGTCGAACTTTGGAACCTAGTCAAAAGTGGAAAATTTGGTGAAGCAGCTCTTAATTTATGGCAGGAGAGTGCTACAGCATTTTAAACTACCTGCACTGTTTAAATATACACAAAAAGCTAAAGGAAACCATGAATACTGAACTAAAAGAACTAGGTGAACAATGTTTGAACAGATAGAGAAATTATAAAAAGCCATACAGAACTTTTGGAGCTGCAAAGTACAAAAACTGAAGTGAAAAATTTGTTAGGGGGTTTAACAGCTTATTTAAATAGGCAAAATAGAGACACTGACTTGCAAATAGTTCAACTGAGATTATGTACTCCAAGGAGCAGAAAGAAAATAATGAAAAATGCACAGAACTTGAGAGACCTGTGAGACACCAACAGATGTACTTGCATACGCTTGCAGAGGGAAAGGACAGGGAAAGTTTTCAGGAATCATGTCCAGAAATTCCCCCAAATTTGATTAAAAAAAAAAAAACCCAATCCATAAATATATACATCCAAGAAGTTTAGTAAACTCCAAGCATGATAAACTCCATAAAATCCATACCCAGACACATTATAGTCAAATTCTCAAAACCCATACACACAGAATTTTGAAAGCAGCAAGAAGTTATTTGTTACCTACAAGGGATCCTCAATAAGATCTGATTTCTCATCAGAAACCATGGAGACCACTAGTAAGTGGGATGACATATTTAAGGTCTTGGAAGAAAGACTGTCAGCTAAGAGTTAAAAAAAAAATGTTTAACATTTATTCATTATTGAGAGAGAGAGAGCACAAGGGGGGTAGGGACACAGAGAGAGGGAGACATAGAATCTGAAGCAGGCTCCAGGCTCTGAGCTGTCAGCACAGAGCCTGACGCGGGGCTCGAACCCACAAACCGTGAGATCATGACCTGAGCTGAAGTTGGGACGCTTAACTGACTGAGCCACCCAGGCGTCCCAGCTAAGATTTCTATATCCAGCAAAATATCCTTCAAGAATGAGGGAGAAATTAGGAGGTTTGCAGACTTAAAAAAACGAAAACAAAAAACAAAACCTGAGAGAGCTCATTAACAGTAGACCTGCTCTACAAAAAATGCTTCAGGGGGCACCTGGGTGGCTCAGCCGGTTGAGCGTCCAACTTTGGCTCAGGTCATGATCTCACAGCTTGTGGGTTCAAGCCCCGCATCAGGCTCTGCTGACAGCTCAGAGCCTGGAGCCTGCTTCGGATTCTGTGCCTCTTCTCTCTCTGACCCTAACCCACTAGCATTCTGTCTCTGTCTCTCTCAAAAATAAACAAATATTAAAAAAAAATTAAAAACAAAAAATGCTTCAGGCTGAAATGAAAGGACACGGCAGTAGTTCTAAACCATAAGAAAGAAAAGTGAACGCTAGAAAAGGTAACGTCATAGGCAAATGTAAAAGGCACTATTGCAGGCGCATGGGTGGGTCAGTGAGTTAATAAGTATCCAACCTTTGGCTCAAGTCATGATCTCACAGTTCATGAGTTTGAGCCCTGCATCAGGTTCTCTGCTGTCAGTGTGGAGCCTGCTTCAGATCCTTTGTCCCCCTCTTTCTGCCCCTCCTCCGCTTGTGCACACACCCTCTCTAAAAAATAAACATTAAAAGAAGCCAATATTGTACTTTTTATTGGTTTGTAACTTCTGCTTTTCCTGTATGATTTAAGGCAAACAGACAAGAAAATTATAAATCTATGTCAATGGTTATAGTGTATAACAATGCAATCTGTGACAATTACAAAAGTAGGAGAGGGATTAAAAAGTATAGAAACAGTATATACTACTGAAACTAAGTGGATTTTTACAAGTTTACTATGTTAATTTTAATCCACAAGGTAAACACTAAGAAAATACTAGAAGAAAAACTGAAAAGAGAAGAAGGAAATAAAAGTGTGACACTACAAAAAAAATCAGTAAATATAAAAAAAGGCAAGAATGGAGGAACAAAAGACACAGACAACAAACAACTAAATGGTAGAAGTAAGTACTTTTCAGTATTCATATTAAATGCAAATGGAATAAACTTCCCAATTAAAAGGTCCAGATTAGTAGACTGGATTAAGAAACCAAGATCTATGTATATGCTTCCTACAAGAGAGTTACTATAAAGAATGAGGTTGAAAGTAAAAGGATGGAAAAAAAATATTGCAAAAGATTTTGTATTCCATACAAAAAAAAAAAAAAGGCTGTATTATGAGACAAACTAGATTTTAAATCAAAAGAAGGTTAATGAAAACAGACTCCTGGATCAATGGAATAGGGAGCCCAGAAATAAGCCCATGCATATACGGTCAATCTGTGATAAAGGAGGCAAGATTATACAGTGTGAAAAAGTCTCTTCAGTAAATAGCGTTGAAAACACTGGGCAGCTACATGCGTAGAAATGAAACTGGACTGCTATCTTATACTATATACAAAAACCAAGTCAAAATGAATTAAGGACTTGAATGTAAGACCCAAAACCATAAAACATAAAAAAGGAAATGTGAGCAGTAAGCTTTTTGACATTGGTTTTCGCAATATTTTTTTGAACCATTCTCCTCAGGCAAGGGCAGCAACAGCTAAAATTAAAAGATGGGATTATGACAAACTGAAAAGCTTCTGCACAGCAAAGGAAACCATCAACAAAATGAAAAGGCAATCTACTGAATGGGAAAAGATATTTACAAATCCTACATCCTAGAAGTGGTTAATAACCAAAAAAATATAAAGAGTGTATACACCTTAGTACTCAAAAAACAAACGGGTGCCTGGGTGGCTCAGTTAGTTGAGTGTCTGACTCTTGGTTTTGGCTCAGGTCATGATTCCAGGATTGAGCCCTGCATCAGGCACCATGCTAAGTGTGGAGCCTGCTTAAGATTCTCAGTCTCTCTCCTTCTGCCCCTCTCCCTCACTTGCATGCTCGCTCTCAAAAAAAAACAAACAAAAAACCAAAACAAAACAACCCAGGAAACAAAAAACAAACAGCCTGATTCAAAATGGGCAGAGGACTTGAATAGACATTTTTTCAAAGAAGACATACCGATGGCCAATAGACATCTGGAAACATGTTCAGCATCTGTAATCATCATGGAAATGCAAATCAAAACCATAATGAGATACTACCTCACACCAGTCTAACTGGCTTTTTTCAAAAAGACAATAACAAATGTTGGTAAGGATGTAGAGAAAAGGGAACCCTCACGCACTGTTGGTGGGAATAAAAACTGGTGCAGCCACTGTGGAAAATAGTATGGAGACTCCTCAAAAATGTAAAAATAGAACTACTGTATGATCCATCAATTCCACTTCTAGGTATTTATCCATACAAGACAAAAACACCCATTCAAAGGGATATATGCATCACCATTATTTATAAAAGCCAAGATACAGAAGCAACTTAAGTGCCCAACAACAGATGAGTGGATAAAGAAGTTGTTTACGCACACATTCGGCAATATTACTTAGCCATAAAAGAAGAATGAGCTTGCTGTCTGTGGCAACATGAATGGACCTAGAGGTATTATGCCAAGTGAAATAAGTTAGAGAAAGACTAATACTGTACAATTTCACTTATATGTGGAGTCTAAAAAATACACCAAAATGGAAACAGGCTCACAGATAGACAAAACTATTGGTCACCAGAGTGGGGAGGGATTGAGAGTAGGCCAAAAAGGAGACGGGGATTAAGAAGTTTCTAATTATAAATAATTCATGAGGATACAATGTATAGCAGAGGGAAACACTATGATATACACCAGAAACTAATGGAAAATTGTATGTCAATTATACTTCAATTTATTTAAAAAAAAATTTTTTTTTCAACGTTTATTTATTTTTGGGACAGGGACAGACAGAGCATGAACGGGCGAGGGGCAGAGAGAGAGGGAGACACAGAATCGGAAACAGGCTCCAGGCTCTG